GTGGGCTATTGAGCCCGCTGGTATAACCAGACGATGTTTTGCTGAAAAAATAAAACTGCCTTTTTCCTCTGCACAGCTTCCACGAGATCCTTGAAGGTACTGAAGAATTCATCCAGTAGCGAGTGGAACGGTGACCCAGGGAAAGGTACCTTCCAGGACTCTGATGAGTGCAGCCTGAGCAGCAGCACTCAGAGCAGCAGCTGCCACACCGCTGAGAGCATACAGGAGCCCAAAATTTCATCTCCCGATAAACACGTACAGAGCTGTGCATCTGACTTTTCTAATGTTCTTGTCAAAGAATCTGATATACTCAGTGACGATGATGACGACGATGACTATCGGAGCCTAAAGAAGGGCAGCCCTACAAAAGACATTGAAATACAGTTCCAACGGCTGAAGATTTCAGAGGAACCGAGTACTGACTCTGAACGGGACCAGGCTGCTGAAAATGAGGAAGGAGATGGCTTCAAGACAGGACAGCATCCGAAGCTGGTGCGTGGCCATTTCTGCCCAGTGAAGAGAAAAGTAAACAGCACAAAGCGTAACAGAGGAACTTTAACGGCAATGCAAGAACGTCACCAGTCCCTTGACAGTCACTCTGATGCCTCAAACCTGGATCTGAACTCTATTTTAGAGAGAGAATTTAGCGTCCAGAGTTTAACATCTGTAGTTAATGAGGACTGTTTTTATGAAGCTGTGGAGAGGCATGGGAAATCCTAGCTTTCTAAGCACTATATTTAAAATACTCATTTGAAGTCCACATAAAATTCAACAAACTTATTTTGCTTTAAAACTAGTAAATTCATGGAAGCTGCAGGAAAACTACTATCTGATTTTGTGCACTAATACATTTTTCCCACAAGAACAGCTGTAAAGGATTCTTAAGTTATTTTAATTTATTGTGGATCAAAAATAGATTAAGTTGGCCAAGGTCTGTAAATTAGTTCATCCCATTCAAGCAGTTCTTAAGACGATGTAGTGTTCTTGGGGAGGGAAAGGGAAGGGAAAGATGGCCTCGTTAGTATCTTAAGTAATGTGGAAAAGGTGCTAGTGAGTGGGAGAGGGGATTACAATGGAAAGTAGCATGGCAAAATGAATTTTTCAATACCTTGGGCATTTTATTTCTTTGGTTTTCATTTTTGCTTTATTTAAAGCAGAATTAAGTTATTTTAATGTGTTTTAGTGCACAGTAGTGCAGGATTTTCATTTTTGTAAGTTTCAAGATGCTGTTTATACTTTATACATATGTGTAAATACAAAACCAAAGCTTGGCCTGTAATCTTTTATTTGACTGTATTTTTTATTTTCTCTACCAGCCTGTACAGTAAAAGACAAATAAGTATCGTACTTAGCCATGTTTTCTATTTTTTATCATGCTGCTTTTCTCTAGTTGGAGCTTTAAATCTCAAATTCTTTGTTTTTGCCTAAATGAGAAGAGTATTAGCAGACCTTAAGGCAATCTGTGCACGTTATCCTCCTTTAAGCCAGTCACTTGAGTATACTTATACAAGAATTTTGGCTTTTGTTTTTAAAATTACTCTGCAGAGTAGGATGTTCCAGGATAAAAAGAGCACAAACCTCCAAACATCGTCTTACATGCTGAAGTATGAAAAGTATTTTTTCTTACATTTCAGTAATGCACTTTCATTCATACAAAACTCAATTATTTCAGTGGTATCCCAACTTAATTACAGGTGTCGCAACATACCTTGTTCTCGGTATGTGTTCTAGCCATTCCCCTGAAGTAAAAAGAACCTGTAGGCACCTTATAACTGGACTGTCTTTTCACTTTTGTCTGCAGCTGAATGGAATGAATAAACAAAATGGGAAAGCCCTCTCTCCCCTCCACTTTCTCAAAAGTAGATCTTCCATACCTGCACAGATGTAGGAATATATAAGCCTCCTTTTACTGAATCAACACCTCTAGATCAAGGAATCAAAACTAATAAAAAAGAAAAATCAGTCTGCTGTACTTAACTACAGCTGTTACAGCTAACTTTCTTCTTCAGTCTGTTTGGGCTGACTAGTACTTTTAAGTAAATTCCTCATCCTCTTCTTTTGTTTTAGTTCTTCTCTGTAATTGTACACAAAAAGGCTTGGGTCTTCATCACACATTTTCCTGTATGTATTGCACAGATTTCTGAATTGTGACATGGAGAGCTGAAAAGGACGCAGAGTTGGATCAACATTTGCCATCATCATGAGCTGTTCTGTTCTTTTCAAACGCCCGCTTTCAGGAAACAAGGTCCTAAAAGGTGTGGGGAGAAGACAAACAAAACAATTCAGACAGACAATTCAGTTTCCCTTCAGAATCCTCTTAGGAATTTACTTAACATAGGTTTACTATTAAGTATGTATGTAATTATTTTAGCTCTGGCACTCTTAACGTAGCTCATTATCTAAAAGCAAATGGAAACATACAAGGACCCTTTTTCTGCAAATGCAAATTATGACAACATAGGAAAGCATATACATACATTGTACATTAAACACATGCATGTATGTTCATGTTTGCTAATGTTAAAAAGAACTTCGGGTATGGGTACAGCATCAGGCCTTCTTAGAATTAACCGCCTATTTAGAGAGCAACAATAGATTAAACTCTGCAAAACAGATCAGATCCAAACCATATGACTTTCTCTCAGGCTGTGTTTCATTCCAACGGGAGGGATATCCTTACCACTTGTCATTAATATTGTATCTCCAATGCCAGGAAAAAAGCCAAAAAGGAGGAAAGGAGTATTCAATTATCATTCACTTTTTAATATTTAGAACATGGAGAATGGGCCAGGAGTCCTAGATTTTGTTTTCACAGATAGGCATATCAGTTAATTTACTCTGTAGCCAGAGGTGTTAGCACCTCTCACGCAAGTTCCCCAAATTTTAATGAATAGTATTAGTTCAAGTGATTTATTTTTTTTTAAACGTCTCACAAAAAATGCATATTGCAAAGTGTAAACTACTGAAAGGACTAGCTCTTATTAGCAGTAGTTCTCAGTCTACAACAAGTTAGGAAGGCAGAAAATTTGCATGTGGTTGATATGCATGTCTCAATTTTCAAATGCTCTGCCTCTGCCATATATACACAAGACCTAAAAATGCTATGCATTTAATACAGGACTACCCCCAAGCCCCCAGCTAGCTGTGGTTTGCAGGTTGGCTGGACAAGCTAGTTAAAAGGCTTTGTAAAGTGAGTGATAGTTGGCTCAAGTATGTGCTACTCAAGCCCTTGGTCAAAAATGTACCCATTAGTTCACACCTAGGTCAGCAAGGTTAGAATGGCTCAATCCTTATTTTGATATCCCTCCTTAAGTTATTCTGGTAGTTAAAAGATGTCCCTGGAGCCATAAATGTTTAATCACCTTTTATATACAGACTATAAACCATCTTAGAAATGTTCATGAACAGCAACTCAACCTACTGTTGACTTAATAGCTGTATCTTATATGCCATGGCACTCCCAGATCCCAGAGTGTACATGCAAATGTAAACCAATTCTATTACCTTGTTTCTATACGGTATATGCAACAGATGGATACATACCTTATAATGAACTTACTTAGCCTTACTATACACCAAAATTAGCTATTTTTTTCAGGTCAGCTAAAGAATAAGAGGATTGTATTTCTTAGCTGCACACTAGGGCTAAAGTATGATAAGCTGCTAGGGCCTACGTGACGTCCAAAAGTTCAGATTCCTCCTTCTTGCCTCAAAAGAATGTAGAGCAGTTATTAGCAATTTGAGATTACACAATAGTTGGATTTTTTTAAAAAAAACTTTGGCAAAAATATTCTACATAACATAGATATGCTGATTGCACATGCCTTGTGCTTACATTGTCAAGTGAAACCATTCTTTCACCAAAAAAAAAACCAAACCAAAATCCCACCACCCTGCAAATCAAACACAAATCAATCTAGAGTTTGGATACCTCTTTTTCTAACCACCTCCAAATGCATACTTAATCTTAACATAGGCAAATCAGTACTCATTTTAGATCCAGTGTCTCCATCCCAGACACCAAGAACATTCACTGCCTCAAGCGAACAAAACAAAAACAGAGGCAAAATTTTATGTTCATCTTTAAAATAGTGACATATAAGGCTTGTAGTTCAGTAAGGTGGCATCCACCCCAATTCTAAACTGCGTCAAGGCCAAAACAGTGCCCAGCAAAATTCAGCTAGCCCAAGCTGCAGCAGGATGTCTCCGGTCCTGACAGCAGCTCTGTCACACGTTCTACAATGCCGAGGGCTGGGTTTTCCCCACACTAAGTCAGACATGTGGCTACGCTGGAGTTTTAACAGGATCCTTGATGAAAAAGACTGCAGGTTTCTTGCATCAGTTAGAGAAGCTAATAACCTCAGTTATCATGGGGATTTTTAAAGTCAGTAAGAACTCGATAAAAGGGAAGCACAGAAACAAAAATTTGACCTTTTGACATTATCCCACATAAGTAAAATTTCCTACAGATGATGTTCTCCCTCACTTCCACCTTTGGTTCTGAATTTTGAGACTTTAATTTTTTAACTCAACCAACAAATGCTGTAGTTTTTGTGGTTGGCGGGGGTTTTTTTGTTTGTTTCTGAGACAAACTTGGAAAAATCACCAATTTATCCCAGTAATTTTAACAGCTTCAACTGCTCTAACAAAAACACACTAATTATTATACAATTACAGCAGAAAGAGATTCATCTCAGTTTTGTCTCCAGAAACCATTCGGAAATGGGAAGATCTCATGAACTGTGATGACAAATTTAAAAAAGTAGGAATAAAATCAAATGTATAGCTACAAGTGTTTCTCAACTCATTTAGTAGCCAATGCATTTACAAAAAAATGTTTGAGAATTTTTCATTAAAGATCCTTACTCAATTCCACGGAAGCAGTATTTTCTTCTAAATTGAAAAACACTTCGAACCACTTTTTCTACTAGCTCGAATGGCTGCTGTATCTTTGGTTGCACCAACGGCGTGAAATGCACCACAGCCACATCCACCTATAAGGAAGAGAAAGATAAATTTGAGTAGATAAATTAGAACTAATATGTCTTGGGGGAATATAACTGGTTAGACATCAGGAAACAGGCAGAACATAGGAAGACATTATTGTGACAGGTAACAGACCTGTGCAGTGACTAATGTCATAGTATTTGAATATGAAGATTTGCCTTAACTTTCAAGGCCCTACAGAATTTTAGTCTGTCTTAGTTATCTACATATTTCCAATTAGTTCACATGCCATTATGACTTAGCACTTTTTTCCCCATGGCACTTTCTCCATCTAGAACAACTTCCATGTAATCTGTGAAGTAATTAGCACTTCTTTCTTCAGATCTTTCCACAAGACAATTCTGACATGATACACAAATTAGACAATATTCAATATACAGACTGAAGGGCAGAGGAGAAAATTGGTATTATAATTAGAAGTCGAACCCATTCCCTATATGTTTTCTGTTGCTCTAGGGCTTTTCTAATACGTAAGCCAAGGAATTACTTTTCAACATATTAAGATTTTAAAATTCTAGTCTATTTAAAGGAATGGTAGATAGAAATAAGTTTGCATTCAGTTTAAGTGACCATACAACTCTGTATTTACACTATGCATCACAGTTCATCCAAAATTATATTTTAATGCTTCTACATTGATGTCTTTCAACTTGTTGTATTCTTTTATAGTTCTAAAAAGCAGCTTGGTTCACAGAACGGTCACTTTACCTGTGTCTGAAAACAGAATGAAGTAACATCATTCCTTGAATGTACACACACTCACACACACACATATATATAACACATAAAATATGTCATGCAATTATAAAGATACTGTATTATACAGAAATGCCCTGAATTCATACTTCTGTGTTACAAAATACAGGCTGGGCTAAAAATCCAGTTCTGCACAACATCAAATAAAGCAGTTCATCTTCCAAACTACATATTGATAACAATAAAAATGAAAAATTTCTGTGGAGATACACATTGAAAATTTGTACAATTTGTACAAGTAATGGTAGTTAATGACTACAAAAATTTTAAGTGCCAGACTTTTAAAAATACTCAGGTTCTCATCAAAAAAGTTTGCTGACACGATGGACAATCATCCATCTTTTACAAGGTCTGAAAGTCAATACTGACATTCATAGAACAGATTCCATGTGACATTAAATTGAAGGCGTGCTAGTTCTGACTGAAATAAAAGATAAGCTCAGACCAAAGAACAGGTTCTGTTCTAAGCACACCCTCAGTGTACCAATCGTTTGAGAACCCCCAAAAAAACTTCAAAAAAAGACAGGGTTTCTTCTACTGCTCTGACCAAGCCTGCTCTAAGTTTGTTGGGGTTTTTAAAATCAATTAAGTCATGGTAACCTCTGATGTGGACATACTCTCTGGCACAATGGTGCCTTCCATCCATATTGTACTTTCAGTGGGAACAGCTTGGCTGTCAAGCACATCTTCTATCCAGTACAACTGCTTCAAGCAGCAGAGGCACTGTATTTGCTTTCAACAGAAATTATGAAATTCAAACAACTTAAGTTTTTCACGTAGATGGAACTTACGAAACTGAATGAAAATACTGGCTAGAGAAAGGAAAGAAAATACTGATTAACCATGCTGATACAAAAAACATGGCAAGGTTCCGGTATTCATATTGCTGATCTCAACTGGATGTTCCAGCTAGTGTTTTTTCTCTACTTTTCCGCCTTTTCTGAAAGCTAGAGTCAAGAATATAAGACAGAAAAAATACTTACATTACTAAAATGTAAAGACGTTGGGAATTATTTTAAAATGAGGTGACAAAGAAAACCTGACATATGTAATCTGCAGTGAAATGTGCATAAATATATTTTCCAAAACAGTTTCTGAATTTCTCATGTGTTGATAGCTTCTACCCTTGCCACAGTTTACTGCTACTTGTCACAAAGACCACAGGAACGCAGTGAAAACTTGTGTCACACTGAGTGACAGGAAAGTTTATCTTTCTGAACAGGGCAAATACATACTTCACACAACCAACCAGCTCCTTGCACAGAAATAGTACGGGCTTACTTACACCCCTCTCCCCAAGCTTATCTACATTTTTGTCAAGAAATAGAACAAGGTATTTCCCCCACAAAATTAGGGATAAGAAAACCACCAGAGACCATTTGGGATCTCACAGTCCCCTCAGTTTTGCAGAACTGCTTCTACATGAGATATGAGGGCTCTTTGTGAGTAGGAGCTGCACCTTTAACAAAAATTTCTGAAGGAAAAGCAGCACACAATCCAGATGCAGTGTACAGTTTAAGAGAAAAACAGCTCAGTTTGCAATGTCAAGGCCAGTAGGCAATAATTTCTGCTTCTGAAACAAAACACAGCACTTCTCAGCATTTGTTCCATTATAGATGCTGTTTTCTTTGGACCCCAGGAAAGCTGCCTGGTTACTATAGCAACAGATACAGGGGAAAGCTTTTCACTTGTAATTGGCCACTCCTTTAAAATTATACATGCTATTTTTCCCCTAACCTTTTTAACATGCAAAAAATAGAGAGTAGAATTATGAAAGCCAATACAGAGTACACAACAGTACTTAAAATACACAACTTAATTTGCAGATAATTTTATTAGTAACACTTCCCCCCCCATCAAGTATGTTAGAAATATTTACAAAATAATACTCAATTCTTACAAAATAATGAGTATGAAAATTATTCAACTGATATATCCTGAACTGTCAGTAGTGCAGCACTTACTCACCCCTGGCTGTTTTAGTGTATCAGTACAATGAAGGTTTATGTTCTAGTAGGGGAGGAGGAACACATGACAGCGTACAATTTAATTCCGAGAAGTCTGCTGCCTTGCTGATGAAATCAATGCTCTGCATCAGAATAAGCTTAAATAAGACAATTTTTACTAATTGTTGACAATACAGGTCTTATGATGGGCTACATACGTATCTTGAAACAGGGCTGTATTTAAAAGCAAACCCACATAGTCTTTTTCAAGCTGTAATATAGGGAACTGAACCCTAAGCAGAACGTATTACAACTTCATTAAAACAGACTGCTTGAGATCCTACTAAGACAGTTCTAAGCCAGCACTTTCACCAGCCAAGCGTTCAGTAGCAGCACTGTAGCTGTCTACGACAGAAAAATGCTAGGTCTAACACCAGATACATGTATCTCGTAGTGACCTTGTTCTGATGTGAGGGTTTCATTTTCATTCACTTCCAGCAGAAAATAACCAAATAACCACTGCACTAACAGCAACAATCTAATTCCTATAACTTAGCTCCATTCACACTAGGCTCACAAACAGGATCGCAGGAAACCAAAAGTCAGGTACAGAACCTATGGGTGTACCGCTGCTGCAATCAGCAAAGACTTTCTCCTAACTTGTTGATTTCACACATCAACGTCTGGTGGACACTTCTCCCATATGCTATAGTTACCATATAAGCCTTATTAGTAGCTTTATTCCTTCATTCTTTTATACAGACTCATACAAAGGCAACAAGTTATAGGATGACCTACAGAAGGCTAAGGCTACCAAGAAGAGATAAGCAAAACCTGTAGTTGAACAGAAATGTCCTGCTGTTCCAATTACAAATTAAAATGAATTGCATAGTTCTTTCCTAGGAAATTTAAACTCTTAATAAGATTATCTGTGATGAAAAAACCCCAACAACCCACAAACAACAAAACTCTCTGGCTCTTAGTTAAACCTAAATGAATTCTGCCCCCCCCCCCCCCCCCCAATCCATAAGTCTAGAGTTTCTGGATTCTCAGACTTGTACTCCTTTTAATCGCTATTCACAGTTTTCATCACAGAACCTGGATATCATTATGTATTTAGGACGAAGGGCCTCCATGTATTTTTCTCCATAATCTCTTTGCTTTCCCTTACTCAGTGTTTGTCAGACAAAACTCATTAAACAAAGTACTCCTTTATTCTCGGGTAGATGGAACTCAGAGAGGGAACAAACAGCAGTAATGCACTTGCTGTAAAGAAGAGGAAAAAAAAACAACATTCCAAGAAATTTTGTTAATACATGCCAATGCAGTTTTATGAGAGAAGGGATAGCTCCGTTCAAGAGAAACTGCATTCTTCCAGGACATCTACAGTGAAGAAAACATCTCAGACCTCACATCCAGCAGTAAGTGCTACACAAACAAGAATGAAACATAACTGGGTTTTTTATTACACTTGCAGTGCTTATACTTGAATTTATCATGCTTTTAATTTGGTTCATCCCATTAAATGTAATGTATGACTACCATTTGCAGTGGTTGGCGTTTATGTTTGCATGTTTGTATATGCTGAAATTTTAAAAAGGAAGCAATGAAAAAGGCTAACTCAAGATCCTAATTAGCTGCTCCAGATTATGCTTTTGAATGAGTTTTGAGCTATCCAGACATGTCAGCTCCTTCTGTAGAAGGAAGTTAAGCCATCTTACCCGTGGGCCTGATAGAGCAAGTGGTATGTATTTGCCAAAGCAACTCTTCGCAGTCTGAACAAGCCAAAGGGATTTAGAAATAGGCGGGTCTTTGAAGTAAGATTTTAAAAACGAGTAGCTGTTAACATTCTCACCTTAACTATAAGCATTTTTAATATACATACGCTGGACAGAGTAGCACGTTCTTGAACAATTACCTGAACTAAGTACAATAAATAAATTAGAGGATTACTTGTTATGTAATGCCGATAAAGACTGATAGAATACATATTGATCAACACCTTGTTGTCTTACGTATGATGAATTGAAATAAGAATACAATGTTGCAGATATTTTGTGTTCAACTTATTTCAACTTCATCCCCTATTATTATGGCTTTTTAAAAAGTTCTAATGCTGAAGACCAGTTTTAATATTATTGTTCCTATTTAGATAGAATGTCTTAAAAAGTATAATCCAGGCCGAGGACCACCCTTTCTCTATCACTCTGATAACAGACAAAACCTGCCAATTATACAGCCCCACTCCAAAGGCAGGACACCATTTCTAATCCTCGTCACAGAGGTTTCAAACCATTTTTCTTCATCTGCTATCCCAACAGTCCAGCTGATGCAACAGTAACAGTTCTGTCTTCCCAAGCACACAGTTATCATACTGCCTAAAATCTTCTCATCTGTCAAATGAAATTTGCCTTTTTATGAAAGAATAGCAGGGAGGTTTTTTTAATTAATTTTTAAAACGGCCACTTCATGGCAAATTTGCAAATGATTTCCGAGAGGTGACTGATTAAAAAAAAATGCACTTACACAACAGAGTTGTTCCATACCAGTGTTAAAAACAGTATTTTATTTTATGGACAAAAGCAGATCATATTCGCTCTTACGGCTTGCTCAATACTGCTGATTTAAGTCGAGGACTGATAATCACTGACTAAAAATAAAATATTGATTTAGAAAAGTCACATGTGATTTAATTGTGAAAACACCACAAAAAATAAATTCAATCTTATTCTCCTTCTAAACCATGGAATTTTGTAACAGTTATTAAAAAAAAGAACTGTCAATATTTAAATAGCTGAAATAAAAGGTCACCTTTAACCATACTTCAAACAAAAGATAATATTACCAAAGTTCACTGTTATAAAATAGTCAACAGGAGCTGACTACAGCCATCAGCACAGTTCAAGAAAGTACTTGACGAGTACAATATATTTTCTACCACAGCTGTTTTCCACAATGACTTTAATCTGCAAGTTTCTAATGTTCCATTTACAATGTACATTTGTCTAGTAAGCCTGCAATCTGTATACTATTACCAAAAACAACTCCTGCAAAATAAGTTTTGCTTGATGGCTTGCAATCATGTATGAAAGGGCAGCAGCTCCTTCTCACAAGCAATTCTGAAACACTGTCCATTTGCCGTCATTTATGCTCAAGTACCTTGTGTACAGCTGCTCTGCTGCTCTCATCTGCTGCAGGGTCATGTTCTGATATTCGTTCCGATAGCTCTAATTTTAAATGCAAGCTTTTTTTGTTTGCTGATTTCTTTTTCTTTCCCCCTCGCACTTCTCCTCCCCGCCCCCCCTCCCCCCATTACACAGAGGGCTACAGCCTTGGCTGCGAAGCTACCAACCAGTAACACTCATTTACGAGAGAGAAACGGGCAGACAAAAGGTGACAGCAGATAAGCATCATGGCATCAGCAAGTCTGCAGTTCTTCGCTTTTATTCTGGCTTTGTTTGGCGTTTTAGGAGATATCACAGCCACCTTGCTACCAAACTGGAAGGTAAATGCAGATGTTGGTTCAAATATCATAACAGCTATAACACAGATGCAAGGACTTTGGATGGACTGCACGTGGTACAGCACTGGGATGTTTAGCTGCACCCTGAAATACTCCGTTCTCTCTCTCCCCATCTACATCCAGGCTGCACGGACCACCATGGTACTGTCTTGTATCCTATCAGCCTTTGGGATCTGCATCACCACAGTTGGAATGAAATGCACAAAGTTGGGAGGGGACACTGACAGCAAAAGCCATGCTTGTTTTGCTGGAGGAGTCTGCTTCATTCTTGCAGGAATCTTTGGATTAGTACCAACATCCTGGTACACAAGAGAAATTATTTCAAATTTTCTGGACCAGACCATTCCAGAGAGCAGTAAACATGAACCAGGAGGAGCGGTTTATACAGGATTTATTTCAGCAGGGTTTCTGCTTATCGCAGGTGTGATCTTCTGCACTTCCTGTTTTAAAAAGCAGCAAGGAGCATGGATTTACGCTCCAGAGAGGCACCATTTCCCATCCGCAGAGCAGGAGAGCAACGCGGGTTACAACCTGAAGGACTATGTGTAAATACAGTTATTTCTATCCATTGAGGCTTTTTTTTGTGCTAAGTGTAGTTTGATTATTTCAAAGAATGTATAACATAACACTTAACTTTTCGTACATCTGGGTTGCAATTATGTTTAAACAAGGTATTTCATTTATAGTGGCATCCACAAAAAGAATTAAATAGGAAACAATGCTTAAGTCTGCTACAAGAGTACTTTTTTTTGGTTGATTTTCCAAACCATTCTTTTTGACTTTCCAAGGAACATTTATTGAAGAAAAAGGAACTCTTTTAAAACATAACTGACAGTAAAATTAATGCACTGATGGCTTGTTACAGCAAAGATGCTTAAAAACCGCTTTCCAGTTAGCCCATCAGGCTATCAATAATGTGTAATGTTTGATAGTGTATTTTATGTTTATCTTTATTTTAATTATGATGCAAGGAAAAAAACCTAACCAGTCTCTGTCCAAGAAGCCCAATTCAGTGTTTTTTAAATAAAAGACACATCTGCCTTTCACATTCAATTCTAGATTGCCTTGGTAAATAGATTTAAAAAAAAAACAAAACAAAAAAACCCCCCAAAAAAACCACCAAACAAAAACACACACAGGCCAAACCAAAACAAAAAAACCACAACAAAAACCCGTAGCCCCAAACCTCAGCTGCACTGTATATTCTGCATATCAGGCTGCAGAATCAGCAGTACCATTCAGATCTTGCCAAAAATGGCTCTCCTGCCCAAACTGCCACCTGCTGTGGGTTTATTATTGTTAAAGAAATGTCTGCTGGGCCTTCACCGAGTGCCACTAGTTATCCCTACACAATGAATGTTAGATTTGAGGAGCAATACAACAGAAGAAATGTAACCACGAATATGAAAACACCTGCCAACTCTAACACGCAGGATACAAACTAAATATCTCTGTTCCATCAAAATCTGGAAGCGTTCTGGCTTACACTTGCTCAAAGTAGCTTTTAACAGCTCAAATAATACAGCTACCATTTATTGTCATCTACGTTTCTGGCCTTCTAAAAGAACTTTTAAAGTCTTTTTAATTGTTCCAGTAGGGTCTGTTTCAGGCCCACTCCCATGTATTCTGTTACTGTAAAATGTCATACACAATGGTGATAAAGAGATGGCTTCTTCATTTAAATTTATTTCTTAACCCCCTTATTTTGATTAGTAATCTCAGATCTTTTAACCTTTTCTTTCAACACACAAATTTTGTTTTGTATTGGTCACTGGCAGAGTATGTTCTATCTAAAAGCTCCCCTAAACGAGAATCACATTGATGCTAATTTGCTAGCATAGGCAAGGCAATGAAAAGGGGATATGATAATGCTGGATGAGTCTTTCAACAAAACCAACTGCTATTATTTTGCATGTTTATATACAACTTTCATTTCCCATATTATTAGCCCGAAATTCACTAAAACAGTATGAAGGGGCCTTAACATTTTAAGTATAGTATGTTGGAAAAAGTAAGGTCTTCCGTTACAGCAGTTGAGAAAGTGAAATATTTAATGCATCTAATATGCAAAGACTCTTTATTCTAATATACACAGAATGGAATCAACATCTTGTTTGCATTACTACTGTTACGTAGCCATTTTGAATTTCCCATGTATTCATCAAGGAGCTTGTTTTGTACTATTCCTAATGCTAGTGTCAACAGTTACTCAGTACTGCAGAGACTTAAGTGTGACCAAAAAGCCAAATTTTCTTTGCTTAGACACAATGCTATGGAGCACCATTCCATTCTAGAAGCCAAGAACCTTTTATGTCTCAACATTCATAGGTACCGTTGAAATAATATTAATTCGTTGAGCAAATGAGGTAAACAATTCCTTCCCCCAAAAAAATGCATCTCCACCTTTAGTAAGGGGTTTGACATGACACTAAGCTGTGATCATTGCTAGGTATGTGAATTAAAACTAACATTTGTAAAATAAGAACCAAAGGTGTTCTTACAGCAGGGCATAAGAGAAAGGTAGTAACTGCATACTATGAGCAAAATGAAGTGTTCATCAGTTAAGTAAGCAGCAAATTTTTCTTCCTAGAACTTTATACAGAAATACCTGAACTTCTTTGTATACTTAAATCAAGCACTGAGCCACTTCATTCACAATATGCTGCAAGAGCTTTCCAAGAAAACAAAGATTCTGTCAAGAATGGTAGTATCTAAACCCACAAGTCAGTCTACAGCTAGAAGATCAGGAACAAACCAGAAGATCAATCTACAACAGGAGTTTGAAGAAAAAAAAAAAAAAAATGTAGTGAAAACAAGCATCAGGTCTGTCTGAAAAATTTGTACTTTCTGCTTTTGCAATATAAGCTATACTTGTTTTAACTCAAAGAGATACATTAAATAAAAATATGCTTGCCTTCAGGGGTACTGCCTTTTTTATTCAACAGAGCTCCAACTGACACTAGGATTTGCTTATACCAAGACAGTTGTCACAACTCTCTGAGTTACCTCTCTCTCAGTCAGCTATGGCCTTCTCAGTACAGGAAAATGAGAGGATCAGTTGTAGCTTCCCAGTTCTGAGACACAGTCTGCACAAGACTTTTGACATACACTAGCTCTACTGTGCCCTCAAATTGCATCCACCATTGAGAAATCACCTCCACAGAATTAGAATTTTGGCCTTACTGAACACTATTTCACATATTTATCAGTGAGATGACATCCTGAAATTACTTTTCATTCAGCTAGGAGACGGGGGGGGAACAAAAACAACAACCACCCAAACCCTAAAATAAGATGTCTTAAGCGTGTCACAACTAATAGTTTAACATGTTTGAACAGTTACTTGCTCAAAAAATACTAACAGAATTTTAAATAATCATCAGAATATATCCAGATAGAGGCCTTAAAATTCATTGTGATAAAAGAGAGAGAATGACCTTTCAAAGGTTCTCAAGAGATAAGCCTGAAGAGTAAAAAGACCAAGAGACAGACTGCGGTAAGAAGGAAGGGAGATGTATTGATAAGCTGAACTAACCAGTTTAAGAGGAACTTTCAGAAGCTGCAAGTTCATTTCTGAAACAGAACAGTAGATTTCCACATGCATTCAGGGAAAACAGACCCCACTTCATATCAGGCACGTATTTTCACAAAAAAACCAAACCAAAACAAAATAACCCTTGCAGTTTAATTTATTAACTCTTGATTCCTGTAATCATAATAGCTATTAAGAAAAGCCAGTAGTAGTACATAAGAGGACAGCAGAGAGACTGTTCTCTACTCACTCAAGAGCAGATAGGAGGAAGAAAAGACTTACTTTTTTAAACAGGCGGTGGGATGTAGGTGACAAAGTGCTATAGTGAATAGGAGGGAGTTAAGTATGCTGAAGATGAGTAGGGTGAAATGTAAAGATTATAGACATGGTAAAATTAGAGATCTTTGACAAAGCTGACAAATGAAAATCTTTTATTTATCAGGGTATTTCAAAAGACCCATCACATTTTCTAGGCACAATTCCCAAACTGTTTATAAATGCAAACTGTAAACAAGCAGGCTTTACAAAGATGCTACAGTCCTAGTAGACTATCTTGTCCTTAAATCCTAATCTCTGTCTCCAGAAACACCCAAAGAAGTACGCTGATCTTGCAGATAGGCTTGAAGGTCAAAGCCAAGAAGAAAAGAAAAGCACCTTCTCAAAACAAGTATACTTCATTTACAGGAATATCACATCACTCCACTTTCTAGTACAGAGATGTTGAACTGGAGCACCCAACTGTGTTCCTTTACTCAAAATCAGATATATTGCTTCACTGACAAATTAACAAAAAATCCAAAGAAATACCTCAAAACTTACCTCTGGCTTTGGAACAAAGGATTGACCTGGAATTATGAAACAGTTTTCAACAGTGCAGAGATGCTGAGACATGATGGACAGTCTGCTACGTTGCTTACCTCCTGGATTAGCTGTAAGCCTCTATCGAAGAATCAAAACACGTAAATCAGTGAAACTGGATTGGCCAAGTGTTCAGTTACATTAAAGCTTGATTTTCAGTATAATCAAAAGCAGACAAATTTAAAAAACCCCAATTATTAAGAACTTATATCAAATTTTATGTCCAGTTCATCTAGAATTTTTTCCTCCAATGTAGCAACATTTCAGTAAGATACCATGCTAATTTACAACCTCATTCCTGCAATCAAATGCACATGAAAAGGAGCTCCTTGAACTTCTGCAGAACTTAATGTCAAAAGAATTTTATATGGACAAATGAGAGAACTAAAACTGTTCTAACTGCAGGATTGGATTCAAAACAAGCATAATACCAGTTGAGAGTATTCCCACGTCCTTTCCTTCCACTGTTTCTGTCTCAAATATTACTATTTTTTCTCCTTCAGAAACAAAGCTCCATAGACTCAAAATCCGGTAGAAATCAAAATTTCTTCATTATTAACTGGTCTACACTTAAAATATATGTAAGGAAGCTAGATCTACTTTACATAAATTTAGAATAACTAACAGTAAGAGCATTTAATACTTGTAGCTCAATTTAGTAATTCTCTGATTTTCCCAAGAAATTTCTTGCAAAGATTATAAAAAAAGTAGCCTGGTCAGAGGTTTTCTACGCTTTCGTGACTGGGCAACAAACATGTTCTGTGTGTTTTGCTAGCACAAACAAGATTTAAATGTAAAAAAGCACCCAGTAAAACAAGTCTCAAATGGTAAAAGACATTACACTAACTATGCAGAAATAGAATTTTGAAGATTCCTGTTCTTATTTACCACTACCTTAATAAAAAATAAAATATGAAAACCAATTTGCCTATCTGGCAACATCTGTACATCATGTAGCTTCAGATGAAAAGCCTACTCATTAAATGCTGCCATGCTTATTAAAACTACCCCTGAAAAATAAAATTAAACCTATTTCTAAAGGTTTAATTTTTTTAAAACAACTCTCCTGAAAAGCAGTTCAAGTATCAGCATAGAGCAAATAAAATACTTTTCAACGACTTTTCAGAAAGTTCAGTGATTCTTTTTGCCTACATCAGCA